TTATTAAAACAATATTTAAGACTTACTCAAATGTAGGGCTTTTTTACATATTTAGTGGCAATTAATAAAAACAAATGTTACATTTGTATCTTAATCAATGTTGTTAAAAAGAAGGAGCTCAAAGTTCAGCTTTTTCATTAAAAAAAAATGAGCTAAGTGCCAATACCGATAAATAAACTAGTTCAAGTTCATTTGGTAAATAAAGCCACAATCCTCCACAATAGAATCTGGTATTTCCCCCTTTAAATGTGTGATCATAATATATAGAAAGGAATGGAAAATACTGGATGTAGTCAAGGTATACTGGATGTGCAGTGAAGCATTTATTTAGCAAAATTACACAAAACTTCAGAAACATACAGGAACACTCAGGTTCTGCTGAAAAGATCTAAATCCAAAATGATCTCTTCTGTTCCTCATTCAGTAGCAGATATTTCCCAAGATAGCTTGGATGGTTTAACTCCATGTGTGGCTTTGAATTTGAAGTGGACGTGGCTGAGGTACGGACTTGTTGTTTTAAGTCCTGGTAGTCACAGTTTGCCCCAAAACCCGAGTTTTTTTCTGTCCCAGTCTTCCTTTGCTTTTTGATGAAACTCTGCTAAACTGGCATCAGAAATACCAGCAGATGAGTCTGAATGGAGCAGACTAGTACTAGCAGCAGACATGCTGCTCTGTCAGGATTTTTGCTGTAAGAAGTGCAGCAAAATCTGACTTCATCCACTGAAAAGTCTTGTTTTCAGTTGAACGCCAACGAGAGCTGTGAGTGTCGTTCACTATTCTCAGAGTGAACGTAGCTTTGGTTCACATTCATTACTTCAAAACTGATCCGTTCAGTTCCACCGTTCACTAAACATAGGAACGCTTTCAGTGAACACCGTTTATGCACAACACTGCCGATACTGTTCAGTTTGCTTTAATGTTATCATCATTACACCTCTCTACAAGAAGGTATGATATGCATGAGTTCACACATATAATGCAAAACGCAACTTGAGGTCAGTATAAAGCCAGAAAACAAAGTCATATAAAGGCTTGATTGTTTTAACAGAACAGATTCCATCCTGTAAAGAAATATCAGCCGTAAGGTTTTGGATTTTGTGGGTAAACCTTCTGCTGTTCAACAGATTTCTAGCCTAACATTTATTCATTATAAAAGTAGTTAGAATAGATCTGCCACTTTTTTCACAGGTACCCGGTATTGGTTAGATGCGTAGAACAGATCATTATGTGGATGCACCATAATTTTCTAGAACTGAATAAAAACTAAACTGAGGTAATAATCTTAAGACCAAAGGAGCAGAGATCCAGAATTAGCTCCCAGCTTCAGCTACTACAGCTAGAAACCAATGATTATGGCTGAAATCTTGGTGTCATGATGGACTCAGACCTGAACCTGCAGAGACTCATAAAGGCAGTTACTATGTCAGGCTTTTATCACCTGAAGAACATCTCTAGGATTAAAGGACTAATATCCAAGCAGGATCTAGAAAAACTCATTCATGCATTTATCTTTAGTAGAATTGATCACTGCAACATTGTCTTCAGAGGTTTGTCTCAAAAGTCCATCAGAAAGCTGCAGCTGATCTAAAACCCTGCTGCCTGTGTTCTCACTAGAACTAAGAAAGTAGAGCACATTAGCCTGGTTCTGAAGTCCTTCATCTGGCTCCCTGTAGCTCAGAGAATAGACTTTAAAAATCCTTCTGTTAGTCTGGAAATCACTGAATACTGTAGATCAGCACCTCAATCCATACAGATCTGTTGTCAGTGTATCAACCTCACAGATCACTCAGGCTTTATAGTTCAAGCCTACTCTGTCCATCCAGAACTAGAACCAAACACGGAGAAGCAGCTTCTATGCTCCGCTGATCTAGAACAAACTCCTAGAAGACTGGAAAATAGCTGAAAGCCTGAGTTAAAAAAAAGTTAGTTAAAAGTTAAAAAAACATTAGTTTAGAGCTGCCTTTGACTGATGAAGTTAAACTCAAACTGAGGAATCATTGATTCAAGTTTGTGGTCTAACTGTTTTATTTGTTTTACTAACTGCTTTTATCATGCTTTTATCTTTTTTTGCTTTTTTTTCTGCATTTATTTTGCTCTAATATTAATAATAATAATATTGTTTAACTCATGTAAAGCACTTTGAATTGTCTTTGCACTGAACTGTGCTATATAAATAAACTTGCCTTGTCAATTCAGAATTGTCTTCAATACCGGGACCGGTAATGATATTCATGTCAGATTGATGCATCTCTGATTTTATCTATATGTTTCTTTTTTCTGCTGAACAACCTAATGGCTGTGAGCAGGAATGATCATTCTAGATCGGCTTGTGGCTGAAGGTGCTCCTCTGCAAAGGATAACACATGCAGGGAGCTGTTACTGATGATCATGTTGACTTTGGAGAGTACTCCCTCCTTTGCTGCCTGTCCAGTAGCTCCCCTTGTGTTGAACTTTGATCAGCTTATTGTTTGTTGGTCATTATTTGGCCTCCTGTGCTGATTAACAATGCTGAAGGATCTTAGGAAACTTAAAAGCTTGGGAGGCACCTCTGAGTGTGTGATGCTACTGAGTTTAGAGTTTTTCCAGTCCCTGCAAAAAAAGAAATCTAAGTAAGTTAATTTGTTGCACATGCAAAACCCTGTATCCTTCCCGAAAGGGAACGCCTGTTAAACACGTGTGAGAACATTCAGAAGTCCATTTCTGCTCATGCACGCTCTGATTAAAAGTAGCTGTTTGCATCACTCATACATGTTCACTTTCCAAAGGAGATTTGTAATTTTTACACTATGTCAGACTCACCACCAGTAAGTGAAAATGGGGACGAGTACGTAGGACTTACTTACGTAAATATATCACCAGAATGATTGACGATTAGGAGGAGGACCACTTATTTTAAAAAAAGAACATCCTCCATAATACCTTTAACATAAGAAAAAAATGCTCCATTATCTTATTTCAAGTGCACGGTATCTAATTATCTTGTTTTAAGAGTAAAAATACAAATTCAAGTGAATTTTTTTTTATTTAACTGATAGAATTAAGGAAAAATACAGTGATTTTAAGAAGAGATTTTTCATTTTTAGAGGAGTTTTTGCAGTGTGCTTCGGTTGTGCCAGGTGTTTTCTGACTTCTGAAATGTGCTGCATTATTGCAGTAGAATATCACTCAATGCCTAAAAATCTATGAGAAGAACCCGAAAATACTGCTGAAATTACCATTCAGCTTAAGAAAACTGGGGTTGGTAATATTTAGACTCTCCAGCATATTTCGCAGTAACAATAACTCAGTAAATCCATAAAAGGGGATTTTGAATGAAACTAAGAACGAGAGTTACTGATCAGACTGGAAAGGGTTAATCATCTTGAAACAGTTGCAGTCAGAAAGGGTAAAAAATGAGGAAACCAAGACCACTTCTACCTTCCTCTGTGGTGGTTAACCATCTAGTATCATTCTAAGAACATAGTGTATGACAAGGTCACAAAATAACCCTTGGTGATTTTTGTATAAGTGAGAACACCAGACATTTCAGACAAAACATGGTGATTGGTATGAGGACAACAGTTGTTCTTGAAACATTATTCTACACCTTAACTACATTTGAGATTTCTTGAAATGGCTTTAAAGAAAGTTAGTTTACTGTTTTGGTGAATCCATCCCATTTTGTAATTCTTTACTATCAGGAAGTCCACAAACTGTAGTTAAAAACCTTCAGCTGATCCAAAATGCTGCAGGCAGATTTCTGATGAAAATTAAAAAGAGAGATCACATCTCTCCTATCTTAGCTTCTCTTCATTGGCTTTCTGTTAAATCCAGAATAGAATTTAAAATCCTCCTTCTCACATATAAAGCCTTAAATGGCCAAGCTCCATCTTATATCAGAGATCTGATTGTTCCTTATGTTCCTAACAGAGAACTTTGCTCTCAATCTGCAGGTTACTAGTGTCTGGCTAGCTCATGTGGTAAGTCACCCGTCCTGCAAACAGGAGGCCTGAGTTTGTATCACAGCTGGGGGGAATGAGCTGCCAGTGTGGGTCCTTAGGTAAGACCCTTCACGCTACTGCCTGCTTTGGGGGAGTGGCGGCCTAGTGGTTAGGGCATTGCGCTTGCTTCTGAGTTCAAGCCCCATTCCCACACACTGCTACTCTACCAGTTTTAGTCCATGAGGCAGACACTCTGGCTACTTTTAAGGCATGACTTCAAACTTTCAGTTTTGATAAAGCTTAAAGTTAAAGGGGCTCAGGTTATCCTGAGCTATCTATATAGTTATGCTGCTATAGGCTTAGACTTCTGGAGGACATAGGTATCCTTTTCATCATTCTGCTTCATTCTATCTCTATTCTCCCACTCTGCAGAATCTGTTAGTTCAATTTCTAACGTTCTGCTCTCTCTGATTTTTCTCATAGTAGCTTCATCTGGTCTGTTCCTGTTTGGCTGTGACTTCATCCTGGAGAGAAATATCAGCTGTGCTGCTGCTATCAACACCCTTGTTTATAGATGTTGGAGCTTGGCCTGTTTTTCATTGTAGTCCTGTTTCTCTGACCATGACTAACTGGATGTGCTGTCTTTCATCCTCTGACATGGGGGATGGCTTGGAGCTCATCTTCCTGACTGTATGTTTCCTTGATCAGGAAAACACACAGCCAGGCAACAATAATAAATCTAACCTAGGAAGAAAAAAGCTACAGAATACCTTTAGAAGTTCTTAAAAGGGGTTATTTCTAGGCCACTTTTGATATGGAATCTATAAAACTGATTTTCAGTTTTTGTTCATTGTTTATCTTAAGTCAAGCTTTTTTTTATTACTTACCTGTCTACATGTGTGCTTACATTGTTCGATCATTTTGTATCATTGTGTCACATACTGTACCCTTAGTATTTGTGCTCCAACTAAACTGTCATATGCTTTTAAATAATAAATCCTATCTATTCCAATTAACTCCCCAGTGATTGAAAAAAAAAAAACTTTCTCTGTAAAATTCCTTTTAGATCCTCTTATGTTCAAGGTCCTTGTTCTGCTCAACTATTCCAGTGCTTTACATCTTTTTCCATTGCTCTCCTCTGTTACTCTGACATCCACCACTACAAAAAAAGTACTTAACCAGGACCATTTTTTTTTTCCTATATGCAAAATCATGAGTAGGGGAAACTTTTCTATAAGACAAAGTGTTTGCAATGTTAATGTTTTTTTTTTTGATGTAGTAAAACGTTAGAAACAATTAAAATTGTTTTGTGTTTGTTCAGAGCAGAGAGGGCTTCTGTAATGTTATAGCAGGCTAAATACAAATGTATCCCTCACTTTCCACTTCTACAAAATAATATAAAAACAGCATCTTTCAGAATTTAAATTCAACACATTAAAGTAAAACATGTAAGGAAGGAAATCATCTTTATTGCAGTTTATTTCCTTACAGTGAATCGTGGATCTTACCTGCAGTACACCCTGCCACCATTAGGTGGTGTGTGTGCGCTGCAAGCTCAGCGACAAAAATACACAGTGTACCTTGCTATGTTAGCCACCAAGGGGCTCCTTTACGCTAGCTTAAATAAATCATTATTTAGAGAGCTTAAGAGTGCGAGAAATTAACGAAAACAATTAATGTGCAAAGCCTTCGGCGTCTTAATAGTTTGGTTTCTGCGCGTCTTTGAATTAAAACCAGGTAAGTTGTAAAATGGCGGATAGCTAACGTTTACATCTTGGTAGTTTGTTATTGATGCCGCTGTTTGTTGGCCATAGCTGATTCATGAGAGTATTGTCACCTGCAGGTACTGACGCAGAAATGCACCCTTTCAAGAGTCCGTTAAGAGTAGCTCGGAATTCTAACTGTCCCTAATGGATTCAGTTAGTTTTTGTATGCTAATAGTCCGGTTAGCCGCTCGCTGCTAACGGTTAAGCTAGCTAAGCTTGGGAGTGTTGGGGAAAATATATGCTCACATATTAAAGTGGATCTCTACCTTTAAAGACGTTTGCCGATGATAAAAGCAGTGACGGCGAACATTTAAAGGCATCTAACGGAAATCACTGACAGTGTGTGGAGTTCACGGATTTCCTATAATAACATTTGCTCTGATTTGACAGATCCGTCAAAGCCAAACGGTCCATTAGAGCTGAGAGTGAGCAGGAATTAAACTCCAGCCTCCCCAACATCTGGGATCTTTCTAAATAGACAAACCTACCGAGATCATCCGTTAGAGTGAAGAGTCGAGAAAATAAAAACTGGATTTTTGACCTTTAAGCCTTTTATGTGATATTTATCACACAGCGCTAAGGTCAACATTCCATCTAAAATCCTTCCCCTCAGTGTCAGACGGACAAACTGATGTTAAAGCCTGAGGATGTGAAAATGAAAATATTAAAATACGACACTGATTGTTTTCTGTTATTCACAGTGCGAGACTATAACAGTAATTTATAAGCAATATTTCCCCTTTTGTAGTTCATCTGTTGTCATTATATGCCTTAACCTGTCTGGTATTTACAGTCAATTAATTATTATGCAGAATTTAATGACTGCTATAATCTACTTATTTAGCAATGGTCCTGATGAATTATCACATAATATATATATATATATATACCGTATATATATTTATGTCTATATGCATGTATATATGTATTAGGGGTGGAACGGTTCACAAAATCCACGGTTCGGTTTTGTTCACGGTTTCGGGGTCACGGTTTTGGGTTCGGTCCGGTATATGTTTATTGTTACACCGAAAAATAAAAAATAATAAAAGAAAAATTCATGAAAATTTTTTTTAATGAAATTAATGGAAAAATCCAAAAAAATTAATTAATTGTTATTCTTTTTAATGATTCGCGGAAACCA